ATATATATATATATATATACATATATATATATACACACACATATATATACATATATATACACACATATATACATATGTACACACATATATATATACATATATATACATATTTATACACATATATATACACATTTATATATATATATACATATATATACATATTTATACATATATATATATATATACACACATATATATATATATGTATATACATATATATATATCCGTATACATATATACATATATATATACACATATATATACACACATATATATACACACACATATATATACACATATATATATACACATATATATATATACACACATATATAGTTTTATATATATATACATATATACATATATATAATTATTTTAAAAAATATGATTCCTTCACTACATAATGCGTAATTTTCATGTAGGCATAAAAAGCATTGGTCATCCCTGGTTTTACAAGTTCTTGTTCTATTTATTATTTTCCATTTTACTTTTGGTGTTTTATTCAAATGGAAAATAATAAATAGAACAAGAACTTGTAAAACCTAGGATGACCCATGCCCTTTATACCTACATGAAAATCTATACATTATTAAGTTTCTAAATAATGAAAATTTATTAAACCATAGACATGAGTTAGCGGTTTTTTGCCGACATCAGCAAATTTTCGCATTAAATAATTAGCATAAGAAAATTTTTTCATAGTTTAATAAAAGGCTTAAAAGCTTAACCCAATCATTAAATAGAAAAACCCTTTATGAACTCGTCAAAAAACAAATTGTAGTTCAGTGCGACGCGTTCATATATGAAACAGCAATTTGGATAAAAAAAATAAAATAAAATAAACAAAATTCTCTAGACACTTCATGACATATCATGGTGCCAAAAGCTATCATTCGCTGTAACTGACCAGACGATGGTCCTATATGAATGCCATAATTCACTTTGAAATGGATACCCCACCCTACCACGGCTTTCCGAAGGTGACTGATATATGGATAAAAATTAGCTGTTAGACCCCTTCTCAAAATAGTCGCCTCAGCCGTTTCCATAGCAATTAATTTTGCGAATGAACATGCTTATAAAGATGCGTAAATTTCAAGATTGGTTATTCCTAAATTTTCGCTTGAGGATGAAACAGGGCTTGATGCCTTAATTTTATTAATTATATTGAGGGTTGCAGCTCTCGTTTTTGAAACATGAGAACTCTTATGTAGCGAAGGAATCATATTTTTTTTTAAATAATTATAATTTAAGCTCTACTTCTGTATGGAGCACTGTTTTTAAAATAAAAAAAAAAAAAATAAAAAGAACTCCGGATTATTTACCTAACGTGTTCTTTCCTATTTTACCTGCACATATACACACATATATACAAATATATATATACACATATATATACATATATATATACATATATATATATATATATATATATATATACATATATATATATATATATATATATATATATACATATATATATATATATATATATATATACATATATATATATATATATATATATATATATACACATATATATATATATACATTTATATACATATATACATACATATATATATATACATATATACATATATACATACATATATATACATATATATATATATATATACTTATATATACATACATATATATATATACATATACATATATATATACATATACATACATAAACATATATATATATGTATATATGCATATATACATATATATACATACATATATATATATGCATATATATATATATATATATATATACATATATATATATATGTATATTATATATATATATATATATATATATATACATGTATATACATATATATGTATATATACATATATACATGTATATACGTATATATGTATATATACATAAATATATACATATATATATATATACATATGAGTCCGGCGTTGCCTGGGGATATAACAGTAACAGATAGATCAAGTATCGACCATCATAAAGACTGAAAAAATAAAATTGACAAAAGATTATTGTTTAGGTTGACGGACACGCATGTCTTAATTAGTTTTTTTTTACGAATTGGTCAAACCCCAAACTCAAAACAAAACATTGTTTTTCAATCGTTATCAGTCTACCGATTGAATAGAATTTTATTATAAAACAATTGTCTTGTAAATGGAATTTTTAAAGCATTCTGAATGTAAAAATAAAGAAAAAAGTGCAAGACAATAAGAAACACTACCTGCCCCCAAAAGTGAAGTTTTGTTGAAATCGGTTGAAAAATGTAGGAAATCCGATCCCATATATAAATGAAACACACACAAACAACCTGGGTTTTTATAATAAGTATAACTCGATATGAGTTGTCCCCTTTCATTCTGGAGAAATTAATTTCATTACCAAAAACAATTGTGTTTTTTCAATTTTAGCGCTGTCAGTTGCATGGCAATTTTACGTAGACCTGTGAAGTTTGTTGAAATCGATTGAAAAATGTAGTAAATCCGATCAATATATAAACGTACAGACACACACACACACAACCTGGTTTTATAATAAGATGTATATATATATATATATATATATATATATATATATACATATATATATATATATACATATATACATACATATATACACATACATTCCGGGGCCTTCCTCTCAACAGGAAAGGCCCCGAAATATATATATATATATATATATATATATATATATATATATATATATATATATATATGTACAGTAGCGTCCAAAACTAAAGGGACAAAATTTTAAAAACCTAATATTTGTTAGAAATAACAACTGTGAAAAGCTGAAATTTTGACAACTGGTAGTCGTTATCATCCATAATAACATACTAAAATTTGAATCATTTGCAAAAGGATAGAAAAAGAATTATAACAATTGTTTATTTATTTCAAAATACGATCGTCCAAAAGTAGGGACAAATTGAGAAAAACAATGTAAACAGTATGTTATATTCAAATTTTTGATTTCCTCTAAAGAATAAGTCTTACTTAGTCATTTGTAAACGTTGCATCAGCCGGCACCATGGCGAAACGCTAAAACTTGATTACTCTGTGAGACAAGCTATTGTGAAGCTACACAAGGAAAAGCACACCATTAGAGATTTCAGAGAAAGTGAAACGTTCAAGAGTGTTGTAGGCAGGGTTGTTAAATCCTACAATGATACTGGCAAAATAGTTAGTGCTTTTAAACCGGCAGACCCCGCAAAACTTCGGCAAGAGAAGATCGAATAATGCAGCGTATGTCATTAAAGGACCGTTTTAAGTCTTGGCACAGAAATTAAAAGGGTTATGAATAGTACCTCATGTGTTAATGTGTCAAGACAGACTGTTTGTAGACGACTGCAAAAAGAGGGTTGTTTAATCGAACCCAGGAAGAAACCACTTGTTAGTTCGAAGAATAAGAAGAGATTAGAGTTTGCAAACAGGTATGTAATTTGGACATATGAAAATTGGGCAAAAGTATTTTTTCAGTGATGAAAGCAAGTTTTATTTTATTTGGAAATGATAAAAAAAACAATGTAAAGAGACGTATTGGTGAAAGATTAGTGCAAAGTGTACTAAGAAAACTGTCAGTTTTTTTGGGGGGCGGAAGCGTCATGGTATTTGAATGATTTTAGCCAAGATACAACACCTCTTGTCCGGTTACAAACTCGTGTAAACGCGCAGATCTATAAAACATTGTTCAAGATCATGTTATTGCCAATCATACAGAATTCAGGTTTCGATAGGGCTACCTTATGCAAGATAATGCCCCATGTCACAAGGCGTGGTAATGAGTTACCTTAGCGAGCAAGATTTGGAAATTATGGATTGGCCACCGCAAAGTGCTGTTTAAATCCAAGGAAAATCTTTGGAAGACCTTAGGAGTGGGTGGTATGGAAAGAAATCCCACTCAACACGGAGGATTTGTAGGTGAAGTAAGAAGAATGGTCTAAAAATTAGTATCGAGGATTGTCAAAGAACTGATTCGTTCTTATGTGGTCGAATGTTAAGCTGTCGAGAGCAAGGGGCTCATTACTAAATATTGATTGTATATGTATTTTATTGTTTTTTGCCGTTTACATCAATTTTGTATTTTGGACGTTATTTTGAAAATAAATACATAATTGTTATAATTCATTTTCTATCCTTTATGATTCAAATTTTAGTATGTTATTATGGATGATAACGATACCAGTTGTCAAAATTTCAGCTTTTCACAGTTGTTATTTCTAACAAATATTAGGTTTTAAAAATTTTGTCCCCTTATTTTTGGACGCTTACTGTATATATGCATATACATATATATATATATATATATATATATATATATGCATATATACATACATATATATATATATATATATAGATAGATAGATAGGATAAATAGATAGATAGATATATACACACATACCATCTACGAAGAAAATAATTATATATGAAAAATCCAATCTAACTATGGATTCTTTCCTGCTGTTTTCCCAGTTTGCTTTTTGTCCAGAATTTGAGCTCGCAAGCAAACATTTGACATTTTGAGAACATTCCCCAAGTGATATGTTCTAATATCTTATCTGAAAGTCGAGAGTCTCAAGATTTTAGAACTGGTCTTACTTTATTCTAATTTCAACGTGTCATCGGTTGAAGTTGATCAAAACTCCCACACATTTAATTATTCATTTTTAGATGATCAGTTCTGAACAAATGCCTTTTTCTGGCCCTTTTTGCTCGGAATGGTATTGCGATCTTGTGCAAATAAATGCCATAAGTGAGAGACGGATTAAACTTAACACTTTTTTCCAAAGGGTCTGTTTTTCGGTCAAATTAACTTTTTTGTCATATTTTTCCTACGTTTTTTTTTTTGTCTCTAACAAAAAATGCTACGTTTTTTCTCCTTTTAAGTATCAGTTCCCATATATCAAAAAAATATATCTTAAATATATACGTTAAATTAATCATTCGCTGTTTTGGCACCATATGCCAGGTACTAAATATGTTTCCGAAGGCCTACAGTCATTTCACGTAGAAAGACCGTTTCCCGTACGATCACCGAAGTTAAGCAACGTCGAGACTGCTCAGTACCTAGATGGTGACCGCTTGGGAATACCTGTTTCTGTAAGCTTGGATGATCTGCGGTTGGTGTAGTGAATGATGGCTCGGAATTGTTAATCGAAGAGCTAATTCCCTTTGGTTTCGTAATATGCAAATACCCTTAGAAAAGGTATGAATCGACCTTTTCTCCCCTGAGAGAATTAGTAAGACTTGTATTACTAAACCATTATTTTCTTAAAAAAAAAAAATTCTTACAATCTAAAAATATTTCCTGTCTTTAAATAACCTGCTAAGGATAAGCCGTAGAAAACGAATCAATTGTAGCTAAAATGGTAAAGCAACTGCTGTATATAGCAACGCTTCCCACGATAAAAAATATTCGAGTTTCAGTTATGTTTATTTCCAGTTCGCACTGTTACTATTTCTTTTCTGTTATATGCATTGTTGCTAGTAATAGTTACCATTTGAAACCGTTTTGTGTAAAACTATAATTTCTCTTTGATTATTAATGTTATGACAAAAACAGTTATGTGCTTTGAAAAAGTAATTTTACAGCACACTTTTCCTTAAAAAATATATATTTCTTACTTTTAATAGTATTTCTTAATTGGAAACTTACCATGAACTAATGAAATCTATTTTCTTTTACACTATTAATTGCTATTATGCAGATACTGTATATGATGCATGTAAGTTAAATGAATTGCGATGACTGACAATAATTGAACACAGAATTATGAATTAGACATTTCTTTGTCATGCATTTAATTTCTAAGACAGCTTCTCATTTTAAATAAAATAAAAACTATTTTAATTTTTTTTAATATTTCTTAATACAGTAAAAGTCAAATTTAATTTTTAGTAATGAAATAATAATTCAGCAAACTAAATATTGATGATAAATGTTGTTTAATTTAGTAATATAAAATATGTTGAGAAACATGTTTATTATCTCATCTATTACGGCAATGTTTTGATTTTATTTCCTATGTTTTTTTTTTCCTATCCTAATAAAATGGACTTTGTCTTTCATTAATATTTCATAACTTTTTCTTACGATCTTCTATCCAGTAATTGGTTTCACGGAAATATCCACTCATATCTGGATTGAAATTTTCAAGCATCCTTTGTAAAACCGTCTCATTTCAAGTTTTATCTCTCTTCGCTAGTTTGCGTTTGCAAAGCGATTTTAACATCCCGATTGCTTAGCTGTCTTATGTTGAAATTTCTGTGAAGCGTTGTGGTTACGATTATACATTGATTCATTTGGACCAGTTTTCAGTTTCGTCGACTTTAATATTCTTATCCTAAACATTTGCATCGATTTACTTCCTCGACTGTCCTCGGCTATCGGCCAAGGAACTTAAACAAAAATCCTTTATTTGATCCACATGAGAACGTCGTTCACATTTCGTATTTTACCCTCCAAATAATGATAGCAAAGGATAATGAAGAGTATGCTGGAACGCTGAAGAAACTTGTTGTCACTTGATACCGTTTTTATTCCTATTCAAGTCACAAGTATTATTATTCTTTACGAGGGAATTTTAGAAATTATAAATCAATTCTTTTTTCATGTTCCGATTTACTTCTCCAATGAATCCATGATATATTTCTCGACTAGCACAACACCATATAAACATTATCAGCGCTTTTATTCACTCGTATACTAAAGTAGTATCCTATAGCCTTGGTAGCTGTATTAAGTTACAGTCAGCGCCGTCTGTCTAACTTTCTGCATTAGTGAGAGAGGAACCCGGACGAAGCTTTGTCGAAGGGCAAGGTTTCGTTCGGGAGGTTGATTAGGTCTTCCGAACCTGCCTAGGCGGGTCCGAAGGCTATATTTTTGGCTGAGCCCACGGCTCGGGATACCCACATTAAACTCGGCCTTGTGCCACATTCGATCCTCGTGGGGGGGTAGCTAAATATTTATAGCCTTGGTTGACAACTAGCCTACCGCAGAAAGAAACGGCAGCTTAATGCAGGAAATATTCTGTCTCGTCATTCATGAATCTACCGCAGACGTGATTGCCAAAGCGTGTATCACGTATGACACTTGTCTTAAACACTAAAGGGGAGTGGGTGCGTATCCAAGTGGTAAGAATATTAACATTCCGACTATCAGTACCGGGTTCGATTCTCACCATGGCCGATTTGTCAAGGTGGTGATAATATTGAACGAGAGAAACAATTCAAGCGGATTCACAATTCACATGTATTATTCTTTTTTCCTAGGAAATTTCAGAAATTAAAACTCAGCTCTTTTTTCATTTGCTTCTCGAGGAAAACAATTCAAGCGACCAACGAGTGAGTTAGATTGGGTAGATAAAACTATTCGAAAAACCGACGACAGTTGTGTTAACACGAAATCACAAGTCGTCGTGACCGAGAGTTCGAGTGTATTCGTATTTTTTTTCAATTACTGATCTCATCAAATTATGCAATCTATCCCGGAAATTGTAACTAAGGTCTGCTCAGTATAGTCGCAGTATAAACCAAAGGTTTTCTTTGTGGTTTGAAGAAAAAAGAATGTGCCCGAGCAGACATCTGCAACAGGGATTAGCTAGCCACCTTAGCAGACGAGCATAGATGGAAACGAGCAGTCAGCTATTAATACTATAGGACACACGGGCAATTATTTTTGTTTCAGATATACCGTAATTGCCGGCGTCAAGGTCGCAGCTTTTTCACGAAGTAAGTCGCGAAAATTTGCCGTGCGTTCTTGATGATGAAGATTAGGGTTTACATAGGCCTATGCTAACCCCACAGGAAGATTAACTATGCCAGAATTCCTGATGTTATGCAAATTTTGGGGAAAGAACTGCATCCTTAACGCCAGCATATATGCTAAGATTTTTAAATAAGATTTTACAATAAGATTTTTGATACGCCATGATTTTATTGGACATTCTCGAAAAGCTACTGACTGCAACAGATTGAAGAAAACAGAAGAGTGTAGTAGCTCTAGAGTTGTAATAAAGTTTTAAAAAAAAACTAGGAAACTAGTTCGAAATGAATGAATATATAAGCCCAAATGGAGTTGAGGTATTAAGATGGGTTTGTTGACCATTGCTTTAACGAATCGCGACATTCTATCAGAGATGAAATTTAAATTTTTATTATTACATTATTCCAAAATGTTAACACATCAGCAGAAGATAACTATTAATGTCAATAACTGAACACAAATAGTTATTAATTTAAAAAATTAGTAATTAATGTATAATTTTAAATTTATTAATTAATTAAATAAGAAGAGTCAGAATAGCTTTCGTATCCGTATTTTCGTAAGAATCTTTGTGTAGTTCTTATGTTTACTGTTAAAATCTTTTTCATCAAAATTAAGATAGCTACGAATTAGAAGAGAAAAACATAACGCCCTTCGCGACAGTCCTTGTTTTTGATAATCTTCTATCTCTAACAAAAGAGCGTATTTCAAATATTCCATCATGTGATTCCTTTTCAGGCCTTTTCCATGAGATGCTAATAGATATTTTTAAAAGTTAAAAAATAGCCATTAAATACGTAAAAAATACATATATATCTATTTGTGCTATGTTAATGCTTACTGAATGAATCTTTTTAAACATTAATCACTTCTCCGTAATAGCTGTCACGATCTGTGAACGTTAAAATAAAAATATTTTCTTTTCGGCAGGTGTAATGGCCGTAGTTTGTGCAGGAGCGAAGCAGAGAATCGGAATTTCCTCAAGCAACACGATCCAAAGGTCTACGAGGTTTTGGCTTACGCTTACACAAACAACGATGTCTCGAAACTTTCTGGAATAGACCCATGTGAAAAATAAACAGTGCAAACTGATGAATTATATTCGTCTTCACTTCATTATTTCGTGAATTTATCTTAGCAAAGAAGAAAAACTTATCCGCCCGGTAAGAATATAACTCATTTAAACCCTGGTAACAAAATGACGTTGCCGCAACTTTACGTCTTTTCTTTTCTTTTTTTTATGTACCGTGTCCCTTCAGTACTTAGGCGGTCAATAGCTCTCCACAATTTCCTTTCCTTTGTAGCTACAGGGTGCCCCTCTGCACAAAAAAAAATCAAGAAGTCTGGTACAGTTTATTTAATTGTTGGAAATTTTGTTACAGTTTTATTTGAAACAAAAGCAAAGGATTGAAATTTAGTCACTTAAAACAGCAAAAATACAAATTTAAGCAACTAAATTTCTGTCATTTGCTTATGTTTCAAATAACTGTAACAAAAATTCCAACAATTAAATAAACTGTACCAAATTTCTTGTTTTTTTAAATTTTTGTGGGGGCTCCCAGTATTAATAAATGTTGTCTTTTGATATCTCTCTTAAACTTTGCTCTGATGGTAATCTATCTAGCGAGCTTCAGTAATTCGATATGTGTTGTTTACCTCTGTCTCTCTTGGCTTCAATCTGTTTCTGTGAGTATTAAATTTTCCAAGCACTCTTTTCTCATTATGTGCCCTAGAAATTTCAACTGCCTCTGATATCATGCATGTCCTTTTTTCCATTGTCTCTAGAATCTTCTCATTGCTCACATGTTCGATCCACCGTATCCTCCTGTAGAACCACATTTCTGTTGATTAATATATATATATATATATATATATATATATATATATATATATACACACACACACACACACACATCAGTGAACAATGAAGTCAACACACAGAGGTTATAGCCTGTTACATAATTAAATGCAATCATCAGGCCAGATGGTTTAACTATTGTGTTACCTATGGGTGTTGACTTAAATGTCCACTTTTATATTTACATATACTCTATCCCTAGTATTGAGTACTTTAATGCATAAATATAGCATATCTTTAAATATATATATATATATATATATATATATATATATATATATATAATTAAACATATATATATATATAATTAAATATATATATATATATATATATATATACACACACAGGAGTTGTCAATCTGATCAAGAAGGAATTCTATAAAACATTCTTATTTTTTACTCTTTTGTTAGATATTGTGAAATGAATTCAGCCAAGACTATTTCAACACATCTTGTGTTTCTAATGGACATAATGTGACATCCATCACTTACCTACCGTGAATGTCAAGTAATCATAGCAAATTATAGATTTGTATTTAAAATGATTACAAATTTCTGTAGATAAAAACTTTGAATATATTTTCATGCACAATTTAAACTCTCGCCTCCCATCAAAAAACCTGACAACTGTCAAAAAATAAAAATAAAAAAAATTCATTTTCCTTATTTAACATTTTTATTACCTTATAGTACCTCTTTTGTACCTTATAGTACCTCTTTTGTACCTTATAGTACCTCTTTAGTACCTTATAGTACCTCTTTTGCTTAACAAATTTTATTAGCCAATAAAACTTGAATATTGTTGTTAGGTGAGTTAAAACTGATGATTTCTGCTCACTATCTACATATAATGGCCTTTCATGAGAAACGAATTGATATCAGAATGTTCTTTGACATAAATTATCATATTTCTTGAATGTCTTTACAAGAAAGGCTCCAGAACAGTAGGACCATTGTTTGTTGCTTTTTATTTCAATGATACAAATAAACAACATTCTCAAAATATTACACTTGTTTTATAATATGACTGCTTGATTTCTGCTTTTGATTCCAATACAAAATTTCTTTTCTTACCCAAGAATAAATAGCATAATGAGAACCCCCAAGGCCAAAAGTGATCCCCCAAAGTCAAAAGTATTTGGCAATATGACACTGTATAAAAATAAAATATTGGCCAATATGTATAAATGTAATTAAGCATTACTTATACAAGATTGAGGAAAATAAATATTGTGCAATACTTGTAGATCAGAAAAATGTTATACTATTGTACCATATAAAATACAGTTTTTTTTTTTTACATGCAACTGTTTAAGTCTCCAAAAAACAGTTAATATCACACAACACTGTCTTAGAAACAGCAAGAGACAATTTGGAGTAGGAGAGGAAAAAGGTAAAAATTAAAAAAAAAAAAAATAGGGGGAGGAAGAGGAAGGACGATGAAAAGAGGGACGAGGAGGAGGAGGAGAAGGACGATGAAAAGAGGGAGGAGGAGGAGAAGGACAATGAAAAGAGGGACGAGGAGGAGAAGGACAATGAAAAGAGGGACGAGGAGGAGAAGGACGATGAAAAGAGGGACGAGGAGGAGGAGGAGAAGGACGATGAAAAGAGGGACGAGGAGGAGGAGGAGGACGATGAAAAGAGGGACGAGGAGGAGGAGGAGAAGGACGATGAAAAGAGGGACGAGGAGAAGGACAATGAAAAGAGGGACGAGGAGAAGGACAATGAAAAGAGGGACGAGGAGAAGGACAATGAAAAGAGGGACGAGGAGAAGAACAATGAAAAGAGGGACGAGGAGAAGGACAATGAAAAGAGGGACGAGGAGAAGGACAATGAAAAGAGACGAGGAGAAGAGACGAGTAGGAAGAGTAGGAGGAAATGAAAGAGGAGTAGGAGGAGAAGGAGAAGTAAAAGGAGGATGACAACAAGGAAGAAGAAACAAAAAAGAAATGGACAAATAGAAAATTGCAAAACAAAAAACAGTTTTCTTTTGTATAGCGTCTACTTCTATGCAGTAAAAATATTGCACATTATTTTGATTCTATTATGTAAGAAACATTTTTGGTCAGATCAGTTTGAAATGTTCTTTCATCAGAGCCAAGTATTTTTGGTGGGCTTGAGGCAGGGGTGCTTCATAATATTTGAGGATAAAATTAGGGACACATTGGAATACTGACAAGGAAATCTGGAATGTTCATTTGATAAAATATAAAAGAAAACATAACAGTTGTAGCAAATCAACGTCCTCTTTGCTTTTATCAGTTCTTCATAGATTAGTTGATTCTGTGATATCGCCTTGAAATAATTCAGCATAGTTGGGCGGATCTGATTGTTGTCCACAGGGAAAAAGTAATATTTCTTGACCAAGCAATGTGATAGGATTCTTCTGAAAATAGAAACCAAAAAACAAAAGAATTTTAGCATCTGTTAAATTAATATTAAATCAGCTTATGGGTGCATACATTAATATGAAAAGTGGAATCAATATGTCATTCAATTTCTGGCCAAGTTTACTGCATTCACTTTTGCACAAATACTCTTTGGAAGAGTATGAATTCCAACCTAAACGGGTAACATTTCATCACCACTGAGCAGATCCTAAACCAACACCAACCATGATGAGTGGTCATACCGTCAAAGGGGCTCTCCATGCCTCAAACACCTACTGGGTCTAAAGCTCACTCTAGACCTCAAGTGGAATGTGTATATTCGTGTCATCTCAAAAGATGCTGGAAGCATGATTGGTTCCTTGTATAGCTCCAGAAAATACCAGACTCCTACTACTATACTCTATCTTTACAAGAGTCAAATCTGGCCAAGAATGGAATATTGCTACCATATATTGCTGGGCTGGTGATGCTCAGTCCTCTCTATCCAGTCTTGACAAAATTTTAAAAAGTGCTTAAGAGGCCTTGAGAGTGATGAATTATTTTGCACCCTGCAACCCTTACCCAACAGACAAAACATTGTTAGCCTCTTACTACTATCGCTATTACCAAGACAGATGTCTGGATGAATTACATTCCTTAGTTCTACCAGCACGGACTTTTGAAGACCTACTAGGTCATGTTCACAGTGGCAAACCATCCGTATAACTTTTATGTTCATTTAAGAAAAAGCAAGTTCCATTAAAACAGCTACTTCCCCAGAACTGTTACTTTGTGGAACAAACTCCCAAGGGGATGCTTCCCTGACAACTTTAATCTTGGTCTCTTAAGTCCAGAGCCAACCAGAATCTATCCCCGAGTGGCTCTTGGTCATTGTATTGGGTGAGCTAACACTAAATGGTTTATGGCCACATGATGTTGAATAGAACCAAAAAGTAATATTCAAATGAAATGCTCCTGATGTCATCTGTTGACAGACAGTGAAACTTAACACTCCTAATACCATCTAATGACAGACTATGGAACTAAACACTTCTAGTGCCATCTAATGACAAACACGGAAACTAAACACTCCTAGTGCCATCTAATGACAAACACTGAAACTAAACACTCCTAGTGCCATCTAATGACAGTGAAACTAAATGCTACTAGTGCCATCCAATGACACTGAATCTTCTTGGCCAACATTATAGTTAACTTGGCAAATGAAATCAGTAAACAAAATTTAAATTCTAGTGTTCAGTTATGTGCCATGCATGATACATGCTTAGGTGATCATGTATCTTTTGATACATGACTGACGAGGCAGATTTTTTTTCTCGCAGTAGGTTTCCAGTTGCCATCCAAGGCTATAGAACCAGTCTGTCCTGTTAATTACCCAAAGCTGGGAGGAGAAAATGATGATTCATATCTTTCCCAAGAGTATTCGCATGTAAGTGAATGTAATGGATTTGACTGGAATTGCGAACTCAGCTCTCTGATTCCTCAATCCGAGCCGCTATCCATTACTCCACCATGCCTCCTCAAATGAAATCAGTAAACAAAATTTAAATTCTAGTATAGGCAACTTGTATCTCTTTCATGTTAATGGACTTGTATTTTCTAAACCAAGTTCTCTCTGGTGATGTTCCTCTACATTCAGTCATTTAAATTGTCGCAATAATAGGGATTTTTCTACGTTCATACCATATAATCTCATGGGTCATGCTGCATAATACTTCAAGAGGAAATGGTCCCTGCCAAGTTACTTGTTTTGCCACAGAAACATAGGTAATAATAAAATATGACAATATAAGCAGAATTCGCATCAGTAACTCAACAGATTCCTGCAGTTTTAAGACCAAAACAATAAATGCAACCTTACCGTATGGTGTGTGATGATTTCATGAAGACTAGAGTAAACCTGGTAATTTGTTCCAAAAAAATGATATGTCCCATCCGATGCGTCTATAAGAAAATGTTTACAACGCTCTTCTGATTGATAAGAAATGGTGAAACCCCATATTCTTTCACTGACCCTCACCAAGAAACTACCAATTGGCCGTTGGATCAGAATTTCTTCTGCTTCAGATCTTGTTATTAAACCTGGAAAAAAAAAAAAGGTTTACATGATTAGGAATAAGAAATGCAATTTTAATCAAAGTTATTTTGTCTTTATTAAAATTAAATTAAAACTTTTTTTAAATTAAAACATATAATAATGATATTATTATATAACAATTGTCAATAATGATAGGATTAATCCCTGATTGCTAAAAGTCTTTTCCTTCTCAATTTGAAATGCATTTCTATAATAAAATAATTTTCAGTGCATTCCTTTAATAAAAAGATTAGCAATGCAGTTTCAGGCTTTTTATTTCTACTTTTCCTGATATTTTTTTTCATTGGGCAATTACCAGGGGCCAAATGGAATTTATTTTGTTTTTCTTTTATTGTGGCCTGTTTAGGGGCCAGAAACAAAGACATGAAAAGAAGAAGGTAGGTTGAACAAGTGTATTGAAATAACACAACATTCATTCTAATGTAGATAGGTCACTATAATATCTTTTATGTTACTAATTGCTCAGTGTTGCAGTAAATGTATGTACATACAGTTCTGTTCAATAAAAGTGACTCACCTGATTTTTTTTACTTAAAAATTTTTTTGCCTATTGTTTTTGGGGTCAAACTAATTTTTAATCTTACTAAAATAAAGACCCCTTCCCGACAACCTAGTACAAAAAGTTTACTCACCCTAAGGTATTCTATTGATAATTATAATTTTGGATATAAATCAGATTTAGGGAAAAACTCTGTGCAAAATGTGACTTACTTATTTCCTGCAACTAGTAATCAATAGAAACATAACCGAACAGCTTTAAATAAAGAATAATAGAGGTATAATTTATTTATAATAGGTAATATAGTTCGATATATTTAATAATCTATGGGTCCTCCTTTATTTTGAATAACCTTTTCAACTTTTTTTGGCATTGACTTGATTAGGTTCTGGCAAATCTCATCTCCAAGCATTGAATTCTATTCGGATATGAAATTCACAATCAAATCCTCTTTGTTGCATAACTGCTTTCTCAAGAACTTGTACTTTATAATGCTCCATAAATTTTTCTATAGGGTAGAGATCAGGAGATTGGGGTGGCCATGTCATAACACTCACCTGCTTCTCATCAAAGTATTCCTTCATCAATTTTGATTTGTGACAGGGAGCATTATCCTGCATAAAAATGAGCTTGGTGGGGGTCGATTTGTACCCTTTCAGCACAAGGGAGCAGACAAGACTCTAAAATTCTTTTGTACTGCTTGCTCCTGAGGGTCTTTTCAATAGGTTTTAAGAAACCAGTTCCATGAAAAGAAAAGCATCTTTAGAACATTATACTGAATGGATGCTTGACAGTACTTACTGCTAAATTCAAAGAGCTTTCAAAGCTTCTTTGGATTCTAGATTCTTTGAATTTAGCTCAACTTTCGTTTCATCGGAAAAGAGAACATTCTTCCAGTGTTCTACAGTTGTAATAGTGAGCCCATTCAAGTCTCTTGGCTTTGTTGGCTTTGCTTATTAGCGGCTTAAACGTTCATGTACAAGATTTGTAGCCTAGTTCTAACAGCCACTGACAGACTGTTGAAGAGGCAAGACTAACACCTTGCTCTTTGCTTAGACTGGCTGCAATTTCTTGGCTAGTTATAGTCTTATTCTTCGCAACTTCTCTCTTGATTACCCTGTCAGTTCTATTATCAATCTTTTTCTTTCGTCCTCTTGTTTCCTTCCTTGGAGCAGGAGTGACATCATTATGTGCCGTAAGCACTCGAGAGACAGTTGATTGCGAGGTTATAGCAATTTCTGCAATTTCTCTCATAGACTTGCCTGCTTTTGAGAGGGCAATAATAGATGCTTTAAGTGGTTCTGAGTGGCTATTTCAAGCTGTTTTTATACTGTATGAGGCTTTCTGGAATATTATGGAATACTCTAGATTTAATTTAAGCTGTTCTAGAATTCTCTAGAATATTGTTCTGAGTTTACTGTAAAATAGTTTTCAATATTTGGTCAAAATCTTAAATTTACCAGTTTAATCATTAGAATGCGATATCTGAGTCACTTTTTTTGCACAGAGTTTTTTCCTGAATCTCATTTATATCCAAATTTATAATTATCAGTAGAATACCTTAGGGTGAATAAACTTTTTTCCTAGGTGATCAGAAAGGGGTCTTTATATTAGTAAGATTAAAAATTATTTTAACCCCAAAAACAACAGAAAAAAAATATTTTTAGTAAAATAAATCAGGTGAGTCACTTTTATCAAACAGCATTGTAATTATAATATATAAGAAATTTTTGACTAAAAAGATTGGAAGATAAACATTTTTTAGCTATATATTTAATTTATTTCATCTTGCTATTAAAAGATAATATTTCAAGACACACACTATATATTTTTATTACTTCAAACATTATTATAGTGGATACTCATATTTGAAATAGATGCCCCATTTTTCTTTAAACAGTGTGTATTACATCTATCAGGCTCCTGTGAATTTGTATTTGAGAAATACACACTGTTTAAAGTAAAAAAAAAAAAAAAAAATATGGAGCATTTTTTGTGAAATATGAGTATCCAAAATAATAAAGTTTGAAGTAATAAAAATGTCATTAAAAATAAAGGCCATTAATTCTCTTTCTCTATCTAGAAACTTAGCCAAAATATAAGTCATTTCAGCCACTCAGGGTCAAATGATAAAGAAAAGAAAGAAAAGGAATAATAACTCTGACATCCTGCACACATACAGGTGTGCGTGCATGCACACACAAAGAAAAAAGTGCATACATTATTTTTTTTTAACTTAATATTTAGAAAAATATGATAAACTGGAAATTTCTTGTGACATGTTTCATCCATTTAGGATTTTATCAGACTGAGCTTTGTTGATGTTACAATGTCTGCATATGCACATGAAATGAAAAATGCAGGTATTTTTTAAATTTTGTAAAAATTTACCATGGCTGAACTAGTGATCAAGGCATTTTCCAGACATTAATATAAAAATGAGAAAAATGACAGACATTTGCTGATACCTCCTGACGAGTGGACCAAATAATTACACTAAGGTTCATCTACGAAAATCTAGAGAAGAAGTGCTGAATATCAATCAGCTGTGACAAATTTTATATTTCTATTAATCATATATTTTCATTATTATTTTTATTAGAGATTATAATAAAAACATGTTAAACTTATTACACAAATCTTTCACATTTCAATACTATGATTGTACTTGTACTGGTATAAAGAAGTACAATCATAGTATTGGAACATGGAACCTTTTATGCATCGATTTTAACATGTTTTTATTATAATCTCTTACAATAAAAATAATAATATATATATATATATATATAATGAAGAAGTACAATCATATTATTGAAACATGAAAGCTTTTGTGTAGCGATTTCAACATGTTTTTTATTATAATCTCTTATAATAAAAATAATAATATATTGCTCTATTTTGTATTGAGCACTTTTTTAAAAGTAAATGCTATGAACAGTGGAATTTTACATCATCTGATCTTTCTCTCTTTTGTGTGTGCATATATATATATATATATATATATATATATATATATATATATATATATATATAGTAATGGTAATATAGCTGTTCCTTTATAAGGAAAAATCTGTCATTCATTGACCATGCATGTGTATCTGTTAGATCTAACATTGAAACAAGAGGAAAGAACTGAGGTCTTGCCATTTAATTTTTTTATTGTATTTTTCAAATTTTTTAATAAAGAATTACAAAAAAAAACAAAAAACAACACTACTTCTTTTTCTTAAATCATTTCTGCTTACCATGAAACCATGGTTCAATCTTCTTAGTTTCTGGATTAATGCCAACACCTTTTGATATTTCTTCTTCTTTGAACCACTGAATAACAGCGGCTTTATTTTGAGGAGTATTTGGCCTTTTCACACTATTTTTACTTTTGCACACATTATTTAGAACGGATGAGTGACTGATGTGCGTCCTGGAAGTAGAGAAACGAAAAGATAATCGTTATTACAAAATGTTAACTCAGGTTAAAATAAAAAAAAAAAAAAAATTAAATTGATCTTTGTTAGTAATTATAACAAAGCAACAATAAAAAGAAAATGCCATATATTCAGATAACTTAAAACGATTACTTGGTTACTTATTTCAGTGCATTATTTTACTTAGAATTATTGCCACATGATACAAACAAGAATCAGTGCATTATTTAAACAGATTAAACATAAACAATAAAAAAGTGCCTTTTTATAGCTATCTATCAGTTATATTATTACCAACTAAGACTGTTTTTACATTGTCATAACATTTGCTAGATTACATCTCCCAGCCCAACACCACAACAAATAATGTAGATAATAACTACAAATGATGCTGGATACAAGTTTTTTAAAAAGTAAACATTTCTGAGAAACAAAATAAAAGATGAAGCAATCTTCTTTCCTACACTGACAGCTTCTTTGGTTCTGTATTTTATATCAGTTTCAATGACAAGTGTTTAATCCCAATTAACAGCCAGCATGTTGGATGCTGATTTTCACAGCAGGCAAATCCTCCACACTGAGAAGATTGGTGCAATACAATCTTGATATTCCCTTTTAGTTTTTTTATTTTATTAAGCTAAGAGTAGATAGGTTTGCCTACCACCCAGTTCACACTCCTTCCCTGTGTAGGAGTAGAAGTTTATCTGGTTTCCTGTTTAGGATTGATTTTCCACTTCCTTCTCATTTTCTTTCACTCGCAGTAAACCCTTTCGTCCTAGTGGCATTATCGCCTTGTTTGGGTTGAAATGATAAAAGAAGCTAAACTTGAAAGATAAAAAAAAAAGATAACTGAACTGCCAGTGGATAAAGGGAGATAACTACATTTAACGAGGCCGGATCAAATATACAGTTTATGAGAATGCATAAAGTTATCGAAAAAATTACAAACAAATTAACATTTCTCGTGTAACCTTTGGAAAACTAGCCTCCAAAATTTAACCAAGTTTTTCAGTTTAAGTTATTCTGAATAGTGTATTTAATGGAACATATAATTTAAAATAAGTTGAAAGTCAATGCCTTTAATATGAGGGGTGCTAAAAAGTAATCAGACTGACCAACAATGGACACAAAAAAAAATATCAAGAAATGGGTTAGAAAGAGCTTTTTAGCGCCTCCTTGTATAGGATGAAAACATGCAATAAGAACATTTGAAGAATGTTTTTATTGCAAAATACAATCTAATATGGCTTATGGCTATATCACATTGAAACACTAGTTCTCATATGATTACTAAAGCAACATCAAACCTACATAGGTGTCAGCTTGGTAATACCATGGTCCGTAAGCTTCGATGTGCAGGTGGTGTAATAAATAATAGCTCAGAATTGTTAATCAGAAAGCCAAGTTCCAATTCCCATTGGGTTCGTTATATTCACTTATATACATATACCCTTGGGAAAGGTCTCAATCCACCTCTTCTCCCCCAGATATGGGTTAATTAATAAGACTTTTATTACTAAATGATTATTATCTCAAAAAAAAAATAAATAAATAAAAATAAAATAAAATTCTTACTATCAAAAATAAATCAACAATCGATTAATAATGAAAATTAATGTCTTTAATAAATCCAAAAATATACAATAATAATAAAGCAAAAATATTTTTTAGCCCTCTTTTAATACCATGTCTGAACAGCTCTCAAGACGTTTTTTCTTAATATTCAGTGAGTGGGAAGTCAATTTTTCAGTAAGCTTTCTCAATACCTCAATTAAGTAAAAGTAGTTTCTGGTTTTTAGTCATATCTGTATAAATTACAAACAGTTTTATTTGTCTACTGAAAATTAAAAAAAAACTATTTTTACATAACTGAATTTTTGAATCTTGCAAATTTGTTTAATTTGATTTTCAAAATAAAACATTAAAACATTTTAATTTTTTATCCTATAAAAACCAGAAAGAGCATCCAAGACAATATATAAAAAAAAATTAAAAAACTAAATATATAATATTTTAAATTTGACAACCCCCACAACAAATAAAATAATTAAAAAAATAAAATTTTAATAGAATAAAAATGGATGCTATTATCTAATGTTTTCAGTTCAAATATTTTAAATAATAAGCAAAGAAAATCTATAATATAAAACAATGTGATTTGATTGGTCATGCATCCTCATTTCCCTTATTTGAGATATATATGGAAGTTGAAAAGTTGTAAGGGTTGTGTGTATTTTAGATGTGATGTATTTTTATCTGCAAGCAAAAATAGATGCATACAAAAACTGGGGTTTCTACTACAGACATTTATTCTTTTTTGTGGTGACTGCAGTGAAACAAAGTTCTCAATGTCTCTTGGATTCTTTTTTGGATTGGAAGTAAGTTAGGATAACAATGGTTAAAATGGTCTAGCTCAAGTTAGCTTTGTGCTGAGTTGGAACAACCCCTTTACTTACTTCATAAGTACGGCTGCCAGAGCTAACATCCCCCAGTGGCAACATAATTACTACATGGTTCTACATTTTGAAGCAAAGAAAGAAAGTGAGACAGGAAAATGTTTTCCTTGTTATAGACTTCAACAGCACCACATGATGTTTAATGAAACCAACTGGGATAATCATATTTCCAGTTCCTTTACTCTTAGCATCATGGGAAAATCTATTTATTTATTTTTTTTTTATTCATTATTATTTTATTTATCAATTTTATTTCATTTTTCCCCACATATACAATATTTCATTTTTATATTAACAGGAGTATATTAATTATACTATTAATTATATTAACTTGACACCAGTATATAAGTATGTGACGTTTTAATGAAATAACAAAATATCTTGTGGGTGTGGAAAGTATATGAATTGTTTAATCATTGATTTGGTCAGTGGGAGAATTTTTATGTGAGAATTTCTGTCAGAGGACATAAATGTATGTAGGCATCTGATACTAATGAACAAATAAGTGGTTTTGTAATTCAAGAATACAACAAAACAATTTTTATTAATAAAGAGGAATAAACCATCAAGAATAGTCAAGTATCTGAATAAAAGAAAAAGAAATAAAAAAGAAATGTAAAAGTGAGTTTATAAATATGTAATAAAAGAGTTCAGAATTTCAATCAATTAGATTAAGAAGATTTACTTACTGTAGTTAATGTGAGTACGGGCATGATCATTGAGATGTTACGTGGTCAGGTGAGAATGTGAATAAATATTGAAATTTTATAATGTGGCTGGGTGAGAATGTGAATAAACATTGAAATTTTATAATGTGGCCGGGTGAGAATGTGAATAAACATTGAAATGTTATAATGTGGCCGGGTGAGAATGTGAATAAACATTGAAATGTTATGTGGCCAGGTGAGTATGTGAATAATCATTGAAATGTTATAATGTGGCCTGGTAAGGATGTGAATAAACATTGAAATATTAACAAAGTTTCTTGTTTGTTACTTAAAAATTAACTATTGACAATATTTTTCTAAGTCTTCTTCATGATTTAAAATGTAATTGTGTATTTAGTTCTGAGTGTTATGCAGTGAGGCAGAATAATAGGCCAAATTCAGATTTGGGGGATGTTTTTAGAATACATACAGCACAGAAAACAATACTTGCTTCGGTGGGATGGGTGGCTTCTCCTCTGGAGTTTCTGTCGCCGTTAATGAAAGATTACTCATCTTGGCAGCTGACCGCAAAGAACGTCTATGCTCTTCACGAGCACGCTGGGCAATTTCCCGCATTTGCCTCTCAGCTTCTTTGGCTTTCTTTTCTTTCAGAAAAAAAGAAAAAGAAAGAAAAAAATCATATTGTCATTTTTTTTTTATTTTGTTTAATCAAGCATTTTGTGTTTTCAGTTTGAACTCAAATATTAGATCATTGGGCTACAGGCATTGATTGATTTGTTTTTATACAGCTTCTCAACCATTGTGGCTTATTAATAGCCAAAAAAATTTGGATTGTAAGAATAATTCTTTTGTTTTGCACATGAATATTGCATTAAACAATATTTAGGACAACAATTTTCCCAAATACAACAATATTTAACCCATAGATGGGGGAGGAAATGGATTCATACCTTTCCCTAACGTATTTGCATGTAAGTGGATGTAACAAAGCCAGCTGGAATTTAATATAAGTTAAATTAGCTATCATATAAAACAGGGGTTCCCAAACTTTTTTTCAAAGAGGGTCAGATTTGATGAGGTGGAATATACATGAGGGGGCCAACCATTCTGCTTAAATTCAAATGAACAAAATTATGAAAATTTAATTGCATATTTTCATTTCTTCACATGGATGAGAAATAAATTTAAACATGTCTTACCAAAATCACCCAACCTGTCATAACTGAAGCCCATACAAGATAAAGGAAAATATGTCTGAGAAAATAGAACTTCCAGGAAGCTATATCTCAGGTTAATCGTAATATTATTGGTAATTAATGTTGTCTGTTAACTTTTAAGTTAAAAACCTATGAATAGGAACATAACAACAAAATTCATCTTATTAAGAAGTAGAAAACAAAGTGACAAAAGTCCAAATAGCCAAATATATTTATAACCAACACAAAACAAATTTAATTCACTAAGATTTTAGAATTTATTCATCTCAGATGACCAAAACAAATAACTTGGCTACACTAATGTGAAAGCTGATACTAAGATCTAAGTCTGCAGTATGTAGGCAACATGTGGTTCAAAGGAAGTGATTTTAGAAATCCAAGATCAGGATCACACTGCCAGAAAGCGGCCACATAGTGCTTTGGCCATACTTTGGTAAAATATGAAATTGCATTTCTTATGTGTGTACTTTACATACTCTGATTGGCAATACTGATATAAGTGATACATTCTACAGATGATGGGAGCCATATGAAATTTGGGCCTCTGGCCGGATTTTGGACATGCCTGTAAGATTACGTCCAAATAAATAAAAGGGGAACTACTCTATAAATTTAATATACCTAGAATTATTTCCCTTGAGAAATTGGACCATGAAGGTGACTTCAAACCTCACCCACACTATCAAGTTGTAAATTGCTATTTACTTTATTCTCCAACTTAATGCAATACTTTAAATTCTCTAACAAAAATCATGCTACAATGTGCCACTTTTGCTATGTTATGGTATAACAAACATACAAAATGAAATTGGATTATTGAGCAAAGCCTGATGGTCTTAGCAAAGATCATTCTGCTTTGGAAATTGCAGACTGGCATGAATTTGAAGACTACCAACAGCAGCTACAATTAAAATGGATAGTACATATAATTCAAATAGAAAATAGTGACATAATCAATATGTTTACATTCCAGACCACATCAAACATTGTTCAGAAGCTGACCCCTGTCAATACTGGAAAGAGCAATAACAGCTACTGGACTTGAGAAACCTATTTTCCTGAGGAATTGTTTTAAGAAAAATATTTTATAAAGTTCAACCAAAAGAAGTTCTGGTGGCTCAGTCAATGAATGCCAAATGTTTCCTTATAGGGAAATGGCTAATATTATCATTACCATTATTATAGAGATATATGTAGGTATATCAATTAATCTGTAGCCTTGCAATTAGAAAAAATATTTATTTTACAAAACATTTTTTTAATACTTGCTCTTAATTATTGGACTTATCAATCCTCCCTATATGCTGATGTATCAAGAATTATTTCTTATTTAAATATAATGTGGAAACAAGTGGGATTTAGTCTCTCACAGCACGCATACACACACACATATATATATATATATATATATATATATATATTCCTCAGTAGAGGATGTGCACTGCTGATAAGTCCCAAAAAGTATGAAACAGTCGTCCTGTGCTTTTCTGCATGTGTGTGTGTTGAGGATACTAGGTCTAGACATGATGATTTATTATGAGAGAATATATATATATATATATATATATATATGAAGAAATATAGTTTTAAGGCGTGGTATATTTATGGGATAAAGTGCTCAATATCAGAGACAGAGCGCATGTAAATATAAAAGTGAACATTGAAGTCAACACTCAGAGAAACAGCCTGTTGCCTCTGAGTGTTGACTTCAATATTCATATATATATTATATATATATATATATATATATATATATATATATAGATAGATAGATAGATAGAGCTGAACCATACTACTGCTAACACCCCCCCTCCGACCCTCTAAGCCATTATAGTTTGCTTTTTTCTACCTACATTTTTGTTATAAATTAAAACACAACTGATTATTAAAGAATTAAAAAAATTTGCAGAATATGTTATTCTGGGTTCTTTCTTTTTCATTCAAATCCATGAAGTTGTTTTGCGCACGCTAAGTCTTGAACAAATCCTACATCCTGTTGCATATGTTAAAATTATTCAACAAGAAAAATTGCAAGTTGATGTTAAAAACTGCCACAAAAGACAGAATAATCTATTCTGACGTGTCTCTAATTTGTATTTAGATTTACATTGTATTCATTTTCAATTTTTTTTACTTGAATTGTTCACTGACATTGCATATGATCTATTATTGCACCATAATTAGGTTACAACAAAATTTGTATTTTATATGAATACTACCTTGTGAAAATTGAGATGTAGTAGAATGGGGGCTCCATATCATAGACCCTTGCCCAGCCAGCCCTATATATATATATATATATATATATATATATATATATATATATATATATATGAAATGGGAAAAATCCAACAATTATTTTAAGACATTTTTTATGTTTATACGTTTTTTTTATAGATACAAATATTTAAGTAAATGCCCTGTTTATAATAAACAGTATTAACATTTACCGGCCTGAATGTCCGAGAAAATTCTGTAGAAAATATGTGTCCTCATGGACACATGTTTTCTATGAAATTTTCAGAAATCATGGAGAATTGTAGTTTAAAAACAGTGAAATCGACCTTGCTAAACAAAACGCTCCTCTGTGGCTCAATCGGTAAAGCACGTCAGGCTATATGACAGTTCCATCTAGGATACAGGTTCGATTTCTGTCAGAGGACACATTTTCTATGAAATTTTCTCAGACATTCAGGCTGGTAAATGTTGTTAATCCTGTTTATTATAAACAGAGCATTTACTTAAATATTTGTATCTATAAAAAAAAAATATAAACATAAAAAATGTCTTAAAATAATTGTTGGACTTTGTCCATTTCATATATATAATTTGTATTTTATATGAACACTACCTTATGACAATTGAGAGGTAGTAGAGTGAGGGGTCACATATCAGAATTGTGGGAGGGGCCTCATAACATAGACCCTTGCACCAGCCCTATATATATATATATATATATATATATATGTATGTCAATGTATTTTACCTTGTTCTTTCCAGGATGCTTCCACTACTTTTTCATCTTCTGTACCCTTCTGTTGGAGTAAATTTCTCATTTCTCGCCATGTCATGTACAATTCACTGCTACGTTTGCTACGCATATTTTTGGCTTTTTCCAATGTGTTCTGTAATTCCATTTCTTCTTCTTCCTGGGATGATGAAAAATAAATTTCACAACACTTAAAAAATATCAAAACCAAACAAAATATACCTCACAGGAAATTTAACCCCTATCTTCCTGCCATCAGTCTAAACCACTACCACCTTTTTTTCCAATATTTTGTGGCCATTTGCCTTAAAGTTTGTATTTTATTAATTTCAGATGAAAACTTGTAAATTTTCCAGCATATTTTAGTGAGATTTTCATTTTCCAAATATAGTTTATAATTATAGTTCAGATATATGGAACAAAAATGTGTCAGTTTAAACAGATGCCAGGATGATATAGAATTAAAAATTTGATTTGTTATAAAAAGCAACAATAACACAAAAAATAAGAAAAAGACAAATGAAAACACTTGTAAACAAAAGTCAAGATAATAATAGAGCAATTTTTAAGAAAAATATTTTATAAATTTCAACCAAAAGCAGTTCTGGTGGCTCAGTCAATGAATGCCAAATATTTCCTTATAGGGAAATGGCTAATATTACCATTATTATAGAGATATATATAGGTGTATCAATTAATCTGTAGCTTTGTGGTTAGAAAAAATATCTATTTTACAAAACATATTTTTAATACTTTGTTTTTTTTTTACCAATGCATCTTTTCATCGTAAGTCAGAATGTCATCCCCACCCCTATTTCCAAGATTGTTCAACTCAAAAAGGTGCATTCCAAATAATATGCATAGAGTGATTTTATGTATGAGTGGCAAGCCAGGAGTCCTGAATCTTAACACCCTGTGACTTCTTTCTTTGGGGTTTGGTTAAAGGATCAAGTCTACTATGCCAAACCAAGAATTTGGAAGAACTTGAAGGGCAAATACAAGAAGTTATGTTTTCCATACTACAAGAGTTCCTGGTGAAACCAGTTGACATGATTCCTGGGTGGCTCGAGAAGCTGGTAGCAAAATCTGGTGTCCATATTGAATTTTAAATAAAACCTCAAACTAAACACTCTCCTCTCATGTCCATTTCAAGTAAAAATTATAAACAAATTATCAGTATTTTAAAATGGAGAGTTACTTTTCAATCACCCTGCATTATTGAAAATCTTCATTATTTTCCATATTGGTACATATTCATTTACATTTATAGTGGAGTTTTACAAGTTTAATAGCAATAGAAAAAATTGATTTAAATTTGAATGCATGTAAAGTAATCTGTTTTAATTCATAATTAATTATTAAATAAATCAACTGAAACATACTTCAATAGACAAAATTACTAATTTCACTCATCTCTCTCTCTCTCTTTTATAATGTAACAGTTTTCACAGAGTGTACAGTTACCACACTAACCCTAAGAGAAAGTACTGAGATGTTACACTTTGATCCTGTATAGTTACACTGGCACTGCCAAAGACTATATAGCTCAGTGGGTCTCAGCCTTTTACCATAAATCAGAATGTCATTCCCTCACCTTTTCAAGATTGTCCGACTCAAAAGGTACATTCCAAATAATATGCAGATATTCTTGAAAATATTAATTCTTTTTTATCTTAGTTCACATACATATAGAGGAGTTTTATAAATTTTATAGCAATAGACAATGTTGATGTATTTTTAAACTCGGATACATGTAGAGTAATTTGTTTTAATTTATAACTACTGATTAAATAGATAAACTGAAGCAGACTTAAATAAACAAAAAGTTCAATAAAATGCCAGGGGATTAGAGGTCAATAAAGAAAATCCTGTAAATAAAAAACAAGAAAAAGTAAAAGATCCCCCCCCCTAAAACCCTCCCTTGGTTGGGAACCCCCTTGTAATAGAGAGAACAAGATATAATGAAGATCCAATCAACTTTGCCACTTGCTTCATGTACTCTAGTTAATATCTTGACAAGTTAGACCAGAATGAAGACAAATCAGTTTTGTAGAAATGAGAATAAACACAAAGTAACACTAATTGATATGCAAGAAGACATGAAATGGCAAGATATGATCTTCATTCCCAATACTGACTTGAAGTTATCATGTTAATGCCCTCAATACAGGGTGCGATGCCCAGGCAATTGTTTATTTTTGACTGCACAGTATAGTAGGGTCAGTTGGGCACCATCCGTGAGAAAAAAAAGCACCATGATACAATTCACTCAGCAAGAAATTTTGAAATGGCATACTGTACTACTTGGCATTCATGTAGGAAGCTTCAATACAAGCATTTCAGAGTGTTTGGCCAAGAGTACAAAGCAGAGGATTAACAAAGAGTTGGATGAGTCTAATGGTGATTACGAAGGTATAGCAACTCAGAAAACTCACTGATCTTTCTGATAAGAACTCCCAAATATGTTGGTGAGGGCCTCAGACTCTTCACAGAGGCCTACATCAAGTGCCTTGAGGAAGTAGTGCTGCCCTGGTTCAAGATGGCTTCTGGAAGACCCTATGTCTGGCAACAGGACTCTGCACCATGCCACAAAAGCAGAAGAACCCAGTCATGGCTATCAGACAATTTCTGCGACCACATCACCCCTTACATCTGGCCACCTAACTCCCCAGAATGCAACCCCCTTGATTATTATGTGTGGGGCACAGATGAGTGAGAGATCAACAAAACTGCTTGTAACACCAAAGATGAACTGAAGGCAAGGATTAAACAAGGAGACCGTCCAGAAGAGATGCAGGAGATTCCAAAGTTGTTTGGATGGCATGGTTGAAGCCAATGACAATTTTATTGAATAAATTTACTCTTTAGTGTTTCAAGATATTTTTGTGTCATTTTGGTAAATATATCTTAAAATGAGAAGTCAGGGTTATTTTCATTTTTGTTTAATTTAGACGACAATTTATCCATCATATGTCTGAAAAACAAATGAAAATTTCAAAATTTGATCAATACTGCATATTTGGTGCATCTTGTAGTTATGCATTCAATGCACTTGCAATATGAACAGGACTTCACATACTAAAGACAAGTTATACAGCTCGGGCATTGTAAAAGAGCTGCAATGATCAGTTGTCAAAAACGTTTTAAAATTTCTTTGTGAAATGTACCCCAATATAACAAACCAGCAGAAAAAAATTACATCCTTTCATAATTGCTTTTGATGGTGATGCAAATAAACATTGAAATATTAACTAAGTCACCCATCATCCTTGCCTCTAAATTCTTCATAAGAACTATACTTGCACATAACGGCAAAACAGTAAAACAGATCTTTTGCCTGATAAAACAATCTTAAACTGACATTACCTCCAGCTTTCGTAGACTTTTCCTTCCTTCTTCTCTCTCCTTCTCCAGTTTTTCAGCCATGAGACGCGCTTCTTTCAAAGACTGATATAAAGCTGCTTCTTCCTCTTGGCGCCTACAAAAACAATGAAAATAAAATTTTACAATTGGAATCTTATATCTAACTGAAGCTCTGATCATCTTTAGGCCAGTTCTAATTTCAGAACTATGCTAAAATCGGATGCTCTACGTGGGTCTTGAACCTGATGCTCTACGTGGGTCTTGAACCTGATGCCCTACGTGGGTCTTGAACCTGATGCCCTACGTGGGTCTTGAACCTGATGCCCTACGTGGGTCTTGAACCATGACAACTAATCCTTTTAACATCTTCACTGCTAAATTATCATTGTTGCCTGTTTTAAGAAAACTAGTAAATAATTGAAATAATTTTCTTTCATAATTGAAAATTTTTTACATTGTAAGAATTTTATTTTGAAGATAATAATGGATTAGTGATACAAGTCTTACTAATTAACCCATAGCTGGGGGTAGAAGAGGTGGATTCATACTTTTCCCAAGGGTATCTGCACAAAAGTGAAAAACTCGGCTCTCTGATTAACAATTCTGAGTCAGTATCCATTACACCACCTGCACATCCAAGTTTACAGCACCTGGTATTCCCAAGCACTCACCTATCTATGTACTGACCAGGCTCAATGTTGCTTAACTTTGATGATTGTACAGAATCCAGTGTTTCAACATGACGTGGCCATAAGCCTAAACTAAGGATAGAGAGTATACAATGATCAAAATGGTAGAACCATAAGTAATGCCTGGTTTTTTGTATCTGAATATGCCTGTCTGTTAAAGCAGCTAGTCAATCCCTATTGCAGGTGCCTGCTCGAGTATATTTGTGTTTGTTCAACACCCACAGAGCTCATCTGTGTTTTATACTGCAACTATGCTAAGCAGACCTTATTTAGTTTCTGGGAAAGAGCACATTATCTGGCATGATCAACTGTGTGATTAAGGCCAGTGCACTCAGACCCTCAGTCACGATGGCTTGTGACTTTGTGCTAACTCAACCATTGAGAGCTTCCAAATACTTTCTATCCAATTTCTCTTAGAAGGCTTGGGTCAACCTATGGTATCATTTTCAGGCACTTTCCAAAAGTGTCAAATGCTAGGATCACTTCTACAGGTCAATAACATCAAGAAGTTACCTTCCTGACAAACCGACCCTGGTGAGATTCGAACCTGGGTCTCATTCTAACTACTCAGTCAAGTGTCCATAGCAACCAAGATGAAGACACAAATCTGAATCAATTAGTTTATAATAAGGATTCAATGTTGTTAAAGAATGAGATTTCTTTATACTCACTTCAATTCTGCTTCTCTTTCAAGACGTTCCTTCTCTAATCGTTTCTTTTCTTCAGCCATTTTCTTTTTCAGTTCTTCTTCCTGTTTTTGCCTAATAAGAAAATTCAACAAAATGATCTTAATTCAGTTTTTTATAGAAAAACACAATTTTTCATACTGCATGTTTCTGGAACACGCCAGGAAAAATGGCTTGGGAGAATTTGACTCTCACAGAGCAAAACAGTAAACCTACCTAACAAACTAGTGAAAATGAATGGTAGAACAAGGACTGGAAGAGATAGTAAGGAGAGAAAAACAGCTACAAATAATAGGAAGTTGTGGAGAGTCATGATTGCTTGAAGAGAAAAAACATACTTATATTTATTATTAGCTCATTGTTTATGTATGTAGTGGTATCATAGGTAAAATATACTGGAAAAAAATGTCAAAATTTTCATTCTAGTGATTTTAAATACACTATAGAGCAAAAGTTTGTCCACCCTCTGGATTTAATAATTAGTCAGTTTCATTGTTTGATTTAATTAACCAACAACACATCCAAGCTTACAGCACCTGGTATTCCCAAACAGTCTCCCATCTGACTAGGCTCAATATTGCTTAACTTTGGTGATCATCAGTGTACTCCTACCCCACCCTGTGTCTTCAATACATATCATGGATTCAAATCTTCACTGGATAGGTCACTAGGTTAAAGTTAGCAAAGTTACCAGGTTAGTCTCACTGGTCAGCATTAGTGAGTTTGTTCCTGGATGCTCTGCTAATATGACCTTATGCCAAACTAAACAGAATAAAGATTCTTCACATCAATAATACTAGGAAAAATGATGAAGAGATTCATACTCTGTTGATTTAAGTTTTCAAAACCAAAAGGATTTCAAATTTTCTTTAAAAAGTTATCTTGTATATCTGGTCATTAATGTTTGAAACAATTTTATGTTACATAATTGAGCTTTTTTTATGTGAAAAAATATACAATATTTTCTAATATGGCTGATGTGTTCAAAGAATATGTCAATGGTACACCGGGTCAAGTGAAGGCAAAGCACAATCTCATATGACTTATATGCATATCAAGTGTATTGTGACTAGTAAACTACAATAGTCAGTCATGAAGTATTGCGAAACAGCCAAAGGGCATTTGTTTATCCATCCTTGTCTTTAAAGGTCCAGTGCATTAAAAATTGAATAAATATATTAATCTAACCACAGTATAAAAAAGTCATTTTACACTAGTATTTATCAATATAATCACTTTTCTTGTCAATATACTTAAAGATGGATATTAATCACACACACACACACACACATATATATATGTTTTAAGACATTTTTATCTTTATACATTCTTTTTATACAAATATTTAAGTAAATGGTCTGTTTATAATAAACAGTATTAAACAACATTTACTGCCTGAATGTCGGAAAAATTTTCACAGAAAATATTCGTCCTCTGACAGGATTCAAACCTGTATCCTATACAGAACCATCATTTAGCTTGACGTACCTTAACTGATTTGGCTACAGAGGAGCATTCAGTTAGCAAGGTCTTTAAACTTCAATCTTCTATCTATCTCTCACGTACATTCATATCTGCTCAAAGCACATCCAAATGTAAACAAATGACATCACACATTATTAAATGGACAAAGTCCGACAATTATTTTAAGACATTTTTATGTTTATACATTCTATAAAAAGATTGTATAAACATAAAAATGTCTTAAAATAATTGTTGGACTTTGTCCATTTCATAATATATATATGTTATACAGTGAAAATTTCATATCAAAATTCAGCTAATCCTGTATGAGGCTACAGATTGACAAGCCACCATTTTATAGAAAAAAGTTTTACTAATTGGTTATTTACATAAAAGACAAAACCTCAAAACTGTTGTGTTAAAAGTAAAGATCTGATAAACTAAATGTTTTCCTAAATGTAGAGTTATTATTATTTACATTATTTACATTCCAACTAATGTCCTCATCTAAAGATGGTTGGAGAGCCCAAAGGCTGAAACATTCTGATAATAACAAAGATGAGGACATTAGTCTGAATCTAAATAAATTTCTAGAATGGTGACAAAACACTCATCCCATAGGTTCATCAATAAGTCCTTAGCTTAATTATAAAAAAGCATTTAAGTATTTTCAACATAATCTCCTTCCTTCTCAATGCAATTAATAAGGAATATGTCAAATATTTACAGGGAAAATTTCAGATCAAAATTCAGCTAACTGTATTTCAGGCTAGAGACTTATTGATTTACCTTTGTATATGAATCATCATTAAGTTGATTGATCTTAAATAATTGCTTGCCTTACTTCAAAAAAAAAAAAACATCAGAAAGACAAAAACATCAAAGCTCAGTTAGGCAATTGTAATTTTTTATTAAACACTTATCTTTCACAAAGTAAACATACAATTTGCTACTTGTTCGAGCTTTCCTCCTAAATGATCAAATATTTCCCCACGTTACATTTCAATTCTTGATCTCATCAACATGCACTGAAAGCTGGGTAAGGGCCTGTTGCATGCTCACAAGGTAACATGATAAAAAGACAAATGCCACATCGAAAAATATGAATGCAAACCTCATTCCCCATAAAATAAATGTTTTATTCAGGGCTTCACCTGATCATCTGAATGAGTAGGTAGGTGATAATTGGGATAACTTCTATTTTGCTTTAACAGCTTAACTCTTTCCCCTGAATGTTCCTCATCCATCCAGACATGTTGGATCACAATACAAAGACAGCACAGGAACCACACAATGGACAAGTCAATTTCCCGCCAAGAGTGGAGCAGAACTGTCTCCAATCCCAAGCATGGTTTAATATAGACCAACACTCAGATATAACCTTTTTCCGGTTCTGTTGCCACTTGATCTCTGAAAACCCCTAATCCATTCCTTTACTTCCTATTCCCCCTTTTGTCAAAGTGTATGCTGCTTAGAAGACCAAACTTCTAAAAGGAACCATCTGTTCGTCCATCAAACAAAAACATTTGAGATCAAGATAAAACCACTATGTGAGTGTCCATAGTATCACAAGACATAAGAACAATTGTACAAAGAGGAATAAATAACAGAAAAAAAGATAAAATGTTAATGAGGAAAATAAACAGTGTTTTAAATTAACTGTTCTTTTCTCAGTGATGATAAATACAATAGCACTCTTTGCATTGCAAACATTTTTGTAGAAAATTCTGTTATCTATTTCTGTTGTCCAAGATAAATTGGACAACAGAGGCAGATACCACATAGAGTTGTTTTCTTTACAGATATCTTTGTTTTTTTAGTTTTAGCATTGGTATGGGATGGCCAAGGACACATTCCAAAAGCTGGGCAGAGTACTGCGAGACAGGAGGATATCTTGGGTAACAAAGAAAAGATTACTGAACTGTTATGTGACATCTGTCCTTCTTTACGGCGGCAAATGTTGGACGATTTCCTCAAAGATGAAGAAGAGACTCGAGGCGACAGAGATGTGGTTCTACAGAAGGATACTAAGGATATCATGGACCAAGAGTGTGAGAAACGATGAGGTCTTAGAGATGTTGCAAACAAAGAGTAGGCTTATACTTAATATCAGGAAGAGGCAGCTGAAGTTTCTGGGACACATAATGAGGAAGGAGGGCCTGGAGAATCTGATACTCACAGGTTGAATAGAGGGAAAGAGAGACAAGGGAAAACAATGCGTGACATACCTGGCGGACTTAAGCAAGTGGATGACAGAACATGTTCTGGGGGGAGGAAGCAGAAGGAAAGAACTTGTTGAGAGCTTCAAGGGATAGAGGGAGGTGGAGGGCCATGATCGCCTACGTCCTGAAAGGACATGGCACATAAAAAGAAAGATTCCTACAACATGTGGGTAGGGTCAGATTTAGGCCTTAAGAGGATTAATAGGATTTGGGAGCCCCTTTATCATCTATGTTCGCCCCAAGTATCTATAAAAGATATATAATGTTAGGAGAAGCTAATTTCCTTCCCCTATAAAGGATAAGAATTTAAAATAAAATTGAATGACTTTCCTTGTCTTTGAAGAGGAGCACTGGGCAATTCTGCATTAAACATAGTGACAAGGTGACAGACACATGAAATTCATTGTTTCAATCCATGTTATACTTTCTGTTCTCAGACAATGAATGAAGAAATGTTGTTTATCCGCTAAAATACACTTGTCTTTTGTTTTCTTTCATTTTTGCTCATCCCAACAGCCTGGGAGATAACATATATATTTTTAGATTATGCTTTTTTGGTGTAAAACATGAAACATTTTAAATTTTTTGATTTTGGAACTCACCAATTTATTTCATTAACAGCTTCAAGATATTTTTTATCCAAACTTTGCATCCTACAGAAATGAGCATAACAGAGACGAGAGGCAAAAAGGAAATACAAAAAGTAAATTGTTGCTTTCTACCAGAAAAAAGGACAAAAGTTTTACAAACCTCAAGTTTCACAAATCATAAAAAGGGGTGACATGGCTAGTGTACAAGAGAATTGATTGCATATCCACTGAATTTCTCTCTCATACACCCTAGAGGTATCAAGTTAGAGAGTTAATTTAAAAAAATAAAATAAATAAAAATGTGTACCTTAATTCTTCAGCTTCTTTCTCTGCTTGTTGCATTGCCTTCTCAATGGCTTCTTTTTCAAGAATCTCTTCTATGGACAAGTCATCTGGGTGGTGGCCCATCACCCACACCCATTCATTGCCATCCTTTCCTGATAAGAACTGAACCTTCTTTTTACCTGTATAAATACAAACAAGAAATATATTACAGACATAGCATAATTGTTTACTTATATTACTAGTTAGAGGAAAAAAAAGATCAAATAATGAAATAGAAAGAAAGGAGTGTCCCCTCACTCCATCATTGAATTTTCTATTGAAATAGTCAAGAGGATGTCCTGGAAACATAAATTACAAAGTATAAAATGCAAGTTCATGCCTCATCAGAAGTCACATATTTTTAATGTAAAATGTTAATGAAACATACTTCTGTATGCATAAAAATCAATAGGTATGCTCTAATGAAAACTTGTTCAAAATATCCTGCAGCGTCTCACTAACCTTTACATACATACTTTAACATCCAGAATGTTTTCGTACACTTATTTGAATATTATCTGTTATTTCCTTACACATGACATGTATCCAATCAAAAACATCCTAACTTTTACACACTTTAGAGTCAAGAATGTTTGCCACACTTATTTAAATATGTTACCTCAATACATGTGACATGTATCTAAGCAATGAAATAGCCTAACACAACATTGCTTTTTATCATTTTTTATCATTTCTATCTTGATCTCTGACAAAACTTTAATAAATTGAATCATGTTTGATTAAGATCTGTTTCCTACTTGTTTGTTTTCCTATCATATACAGTGTAACCCGGATATAAGAGAGATTTTCTCTGGTCCCAAATTAGAGCCTGTGTTAATGTATATAAAATAGACCCAACCCGGATATAAGAGAAACCCGGATATAAGAGACTTCTTCTCCGGTCCCGACAACTCTCTTATATCCGGGTTACACTGTATATACATTTTATATATGCACAGTACTTTTGGGAACCATTTTCTAAATTAGAGGGAAAATTATGTGTCTGTGTATATATATATATATATATATATATATATATATATATATAATCAAACAAATCTAGGATCCACTTGGGTTATATACCAACAGATTTTTTACCCTACTATATATATATATATATATATATATATATATATATAAAGGTTATTCTTGTTACTGCCATCTAATTTTTGGTTGTTTCAAATTTCCAACATTAGAACAACTTATCTTTCTCTTTCTCTCTACTTGTATAGAAAGGGGAATTCTAATAAAAAAAGGAAAATAATATTTTATTCTACTTGTTGAAAGAACTTTTACCATTATTAAAAAAAAAAAAAATTGGTCAAGTCATAAAAGCCTAATATGAGTCAAATTATATTTGACCTTCCTCACCCTATATATTTGCTAAACCCACCAACGCAGAACATTTCAAATGTCTATTTTCATATCATCTGGGTTAATTGAGAGGTTTTGTTTTTAGTACTTTTTTGGATACCATTATTAAATTATCCCTCAGCAGTCTATCTCTCCCTCAATCAGGAAAATGGACACAGATGAGGAAATCATAAAGTTCTATTTTTTGAAAATACAGTTCATATGACAAGGTAATTAATGATTGAATTATTTATTTTAATATCTTGTCATTCCATGTACATCATTCATGTTGCAAGTCACAATTTCTTGTTGTCATGCCATCTAATAAATTTCTATTCCAATCATAACAGGGGGGGATCCAGAATAATGGTCAGATTCTACTTGAGAGCACTCAGAGTTTGCAGCCCTCAGTATTTACATGCAGAAGAGAGATATAGATATATTGAAAATGTTTTGGGGCTCTTCCAATGGCCTGACTGTTTCATGTTTGGTGCGAGACAGGGAGTGGAGTGCAAATGGGTGTGTTCCAAAATAGAAAAGTGAACCCTCCTGACAAAACCAACAAATCAAAAAATATATTGTTCTATCCACTACAATCATAACTACAATTGAAAAGAATTAATCTAAATTCAACATAAAATTTGTTACGACTATGTCTAAAACAATAAAAGACTTAATACAAAACAATAAGCTAAAACTTGAAAGAGAAATTTACTCTATTACCTGTAATGATTGCCACAAAGCATACATTGGAAAACCTCAAGAAATTTAAATAAAAGATTATATGACCACAAATGTGTATTTTATAAAGCAACACATTAAACACATTAGTTGCTCACCATAATGAGACTGAACACAATTTTTATATAAAAAAATGCTACTTTAATTAAAAGAGAAAACAATTCACTAAGATGAAAATATTTAGAAAGTGCTTTAATCATCCACAGTAAATTTATGACCAGATTCTTACAATATTTCACCATTCTTGACAGGTCATCTATTATCATAGTGCGGGATATTTAATAATAAAATGGATAGAAACTTGGATTAAGGAATCAGAGAGCCAAGTTCGAATTCCAGTTGGATCCATTACATTCATTTACATGCTAATACTCTTAGGAAAGGTATGAATCCTCTTATCCCCCCCCACAAGCTATGGGTAAATAGCAGGACAGACTGAGTTCTATAGTCTTGGATTGCAACTGGTCTAGGAGAAGGAAAAACTGAATTTAAAACCAGCCTGGAGAGGGTTGAGCTCCATCAGGCTATCTTACCCAAGAAACACCAGTTCTACTGTAGCTGCAGTACACATGGTGCCCCTACAACCCTATGAGTCAAGGGATATAAACAAAATGCTACACCAGAGCTACATACAGTTTTGAATTCAGAGTTACTTTCTCTTTAACCAGTTGCGATCCAAGGCTATAGGACCCAGTCTTCCCTATTTACCCATAGCTGAAAATTATTTTCAAATTTATTTGGTTTGGGTTGGTTTGTTTTACGGCATATCAACCTCAATGGGTTATTTAATGCTGACAATTTTTATTGCTGGTAATATTTTGTTTTGTCAAAAATCTATTTTTGGTAATATTTTTCCTTCAAAAATGTATTGCTATTAATATTTATTTTTTAAAAACATTGTTGGTAATATTTTTTCAAAAATGTATTGCTGGTAATAGTTTTCGTTTTTTCAAAAATTTATTGCTGGTAATAATTCTTTTTACAAAGTATTTCTGGTATTAAAACCTATTTTTACACTTTCATAGTGTTTTTACCCCAGTTTAGGAGTTAAATATTTGCCCATAGCTGTGATCCTAACAGGTGCTACCACTCTGGTCAGGGTGGACCTAGGAACATCAGCAATTAAGAGGTGGTTCCATGTTCCTCAAAACCTCCTGATCAGAAGCCTTGTTGCTGGACATAGTTTATCATCTTACCCAGGACGGACCAAATTTATGTTAGTCACTTTGATGTGTGGCTTACACATACAATGTGCTGCTTAGACATAATGAAAATGTTCCATTTTTTTAAAACTATGCAACAAGCAATAAAAGGTGGATATAAATAGTTAAAGAATAATTTCTTACTCGGCTATTCTTCTGTATTGTAGCATGCAACCATCAAGATATTTGTTAATAGCACAAAACTCATGGAGAATTGGATGCCTTTCCTAAAGCAAAGGTACGTAGCTTCATAATTTGAACTTACTTTGTTGTTACCAACATAAAAAAAAATTCCACCCAACACCTTCACTTTAGCAACTTCAGTGCCACCTGTGTATCCTGAATATATGACCTGAAAGCACCCAGAATACAAATGTCTGACAAATATATCTTGGCTTAAATCCATGTCTTTTATAGACATTCACCCATCCTGCCCAACAGTTAAATACTTTATGGAGTGCCAAACAAAAAGGTGTCTGTGCTTCACAACTGACCTGAACAATTGAGCTTATTTGATGAACAGAAAAAATGCAACCAGCTGCAGAAACAGTTAAAAACAAAAAATAATAGTAATAACATCTTCATGCTTCAGTACTTAATAAAAATCGTCCTTCAGAAATTTGGCCCAGTCAGACTTACTGGAAATCTGAGAGTAGAACGAAAAAGAAACAAAGCTTTGTCATGAAGCTAGATAGTTTACAGCTGCATGATCAGGAAAGGTGATCAGATATACCTACTACTTTAAATGTTATTTTTAGTGGATACCCATATTTGAGTAGATAGTCCATTTATTTTAAACAGTGTATTTATTTCATCTACCAGTCTGCGTACTCAAGTAAACTTAATAAAGTTTTGAACAAATTTTGACACTCAATATGTACATTATACCAGAATGTCAATTGTCTGGAATTAATGCAAGCATTATTGACAGAATGAGGTTATTACTGGCATGAAGGCATGCTGAAAAGTTTTCAACATGACCAAGAAGCCCTTAAAAATATATAAATAAAATTAAAATAAATTCTAATGTTTGGTCAGATTTTGCGGAGTTGGTGAGACTAAAAGCTTTTCAGCAACCTTCATAATATAAATGTACTGATAATGATTTTACTAGAGAAAAGCACCACAAATAACATTACTATAGAAATGCATTTCAAATGGTTTTACTATCAAAAATATATAGAAAATCAAAAAGAAAGAAACTGTGGTCATGAATTAATTAATTGTTACTGACAGAATAGGGCTATTAGATGTGCATAATGTAAATGCACTGAATGACTTTATTAGAGAAAAACATTAAAAGAAATGTTACTGTAAAAACACATTACAAATGATTTTAGAATAGAAATGTACTGAAAATCAGGAAGAAAAAGATTGTTTCTGACCAGGAAGTAAGAACTGATCTACTATATTCATAATTCTTCTGAAGGATTTTGTTGAGTTCAGTCAACTGCATGTTGTAACATTAGTATGAAATAAATATCAAAAGCTTTGGTTGAAATTAAAAACCAGTTAATGGATTGCAATTAGCTAAAATCTACTTCCAGACCCTGTCAAGGTTGACTACAGTAGTAAGAGCTTTTTGATGCTGCTGTAACTAGGCAAGAAAGCAGTCAGAGTATTTTTTTGAAAATACTCATCTATCAGACATTATGAGAATCAAAGTGAGACATTTTTTTCAAGATTTTTGATAATGAAATAGAATGTAGCAAAAAATAGGGTACTAATGTAAAGTCAACAGAAAATAGGGTACTAATGTAAAGTCAACAGAAAATAGGGTACTAATGTAAAGTCAACAGAAAATAGGGTACTAATGTAAAGTCAACATAAAAGTCTCAGTTTTA